CAATTATTTTAAAGTCTTTCCCCCTTTGCAAGCCAAGAGGAGCGGGAGGGGCCTTGTCTGCGGCGGGTGCTGCCCTGGGGGAGCATCTCTGGGTGCCTTTTGTCACCGGTGGGGGTACGGCTGCCTGCTCTTCTTCCCTGCAGACAAGGGGTCCTGGCTGGCCGAAATCTATGGCCGAGAGGCGGTTTTGTCCTCGGGAGACCGTAATGCCTTTAGTTGTCTTGGTTACGTGACATCATACAGTGGTGTAATCAAATACAGGCCTTTCACAGAGCTGGGGGGGGGGGATTTCAGCTGACCTCCAGCCCGCTTTGCCGCTCCTGTGAGGTGGGCAAGGGATGGAGCAGGGCAGCCTGAGACAAAGGAGCTGGGAGGGGGGGAAGGTTAAATTAATGGGGGAAAAATAGTCTGGTGTCATGCTTTTAATGCTCCCGGTCAAGCGGATGTGGTAACTTTTTATCAATGGGTTTTCACTAGTTGTGCCAAGAATTTTTTTTGCCGCCCTTCCCTCTAACATGCAAAAACTTGTAGCTGGTCCTGTGCTGTGTGCATGCTGACTTGGAAGTTTATCCCAAACTACTGTAGGTGAACAGTGACAGTAATTTATTTGTGCAATTCTCGGGCTGGTTTAACAACACAATACATACATAGACGTATTTAACTCAGGAAAAGCTGTGGTGTCAATACGCTTCCCGTAAATGCAAGGGAATATGAAAGATCAGTAGAAGAGTTTGCTATTGGTATAGTTGCTTGCATGCAAAAGCACGTACCCATCTTTTTAAGTCCTCTCACAAAGTCTGATTATGTTAGTACAAAAGTTGTACATGGAGTACGCAAACGCCCCAGCTCTGTAAATAAGGGTGCGTGCCCTGAGCTGGTTGCAGAGAGGGTGGTTGCAGAGCTGCTCTTGTGATATGGCTAAAAACCTCTTCTGGATTAAAATCATATTCAACTCCTCAGACTTAGACAATGCATGGTAATTATTTTTTAATTTCATTTTTTATATCTGGAGGGAAATTACTGCACTGTTAGCAGGTCTTCACACTACTAGCAGAGGTGACCTAGTTGTTTGGCTATCCTACAGAAATAAATAGGTGCATTTAGTTGTGGAGAAGGTTGTCATAACCTAGGGCACTGATGTTGTGCAGATGCCAAATGGCACCTTTCATCTGAGGCCACTGGAGAATAAAGAAGGGTCAAGCAGCAGCAAGAGCTCTGCTCACATGCTAACTTGGCATGGACAGGGCTGTGGCATCTTTTAACAAAAAGGCTGAATTCTTTCTTGCCAGGTCAGTGAGTCCAGGCATGGTGGCCATAGTGAAAACAATGTCTGTGCACTTTTAGTTGCAATGCTGCTGGTTTTGGAGAAGGTTACCTTTGGTGGGATGGAGGTATCTGCTACGGCTTTGTCCCTTGGACCTGGACTCTGCTGGAGCTGAGACTCCTTCAAGAAGGGGCGCCGCAAAAAAAGCTTGCTTCCCTGCTTGCCTGAGAGTATGCGCAAGTGGACTTCCAATTCTGTTAACAGTTGGCCTACATTAAAGCAGCTTTGTCTCTGTAAACGTTCACACACCAAAGCATTCCATTCTGTGGCAGAACATAGCAATGCTTAAGGTGTTCCCTCAAAATGAAGTCATAGCTGGGGAGGTATATGGAGCGTGCAAACCTGGTTTAACCCCAGATGTGCTCTGCTCTGCTGAGGACCTTCCTGTCCCCGTAACCTTTCCCAAACTTAGCTCTTCAGTGAGTTTGAAAAAAGACTGCAAAAAATATTACCTTGTCTTATGACGCTGAATCCCTTCCGATCTCTTAGGGCTTCTCTGAACCTCTGAATACATCTGCAGCCTTAACCAGCCTCTTTGGACCTGGGCTGTGCTGTTCGGGTCACAAGTGGCCTGAAGAGCAGGATTTCGCTGGGCGTTGGGTGCTGGGCTGGCATTTATTAGCAGGGAGGTCCTCTCCTGGCTTTTATATGTGCTCTTGAGTGATGCCAAAAATCACAAGACTGCTGGAAAGAACATCACGCCTCTTTTCTGATGGACCCTGACTTTTCTTTGAGCAACCTCAGTTGACTTTGCAGCCTTTTAGTCTTCTTACCTTGGAATCATAGTCCTCTATTAATTATCGTGCAAACTGATGTGAATCTCTGCTGCCATACTTTGAGGAGTAGATGTTTTGTTGGCTTTCCTTTAAAAGGTGCTTACAGGAGATAGATGCTCGAATTCCTTAGGATTCGGATGCATGATGATCTGCTTTCAGTTGAAGTGTTAATAGTAATTAACAGCGGTGTGCTGTGTTACTGTGTACTTATGGGTAGGGCAAAACACATGGGATGGAGCATAAACTGTTGCACATTTTTCAGAGGTGTACTTAAAGCACGTTATTTCTGCATTTGCATGGCTGGAGGTTGCCTTCCAGCTCTGCTTGTGGGGCTGGGGCTGTCCTCATGGAAATTGCAGTGAGTCTCTGGGCATTCGATATGCCAGCTGGAGAGGTTGGTTAAACAGTGGCCATGTGCCATCCTCCTTCCATACCAAGTGGCTCTAGGAGAGCGGGAGGAGAGGGCCAGGGAGCATGTCTCAGCAGGTGAGCGGGTGCGTTCCACTTGGAGATGGTTTTCTTGCAAGGCTTTTGCTGCCCCTGGAGGAGCGGACAAGGTGAGGAAGATGGCAGGAATAAAGGATCGGAAGATAAATTTCCCTAAGTGGCCTTGCAGTGCTTGTGTGCCTTTCTGCTACGTTTCCCTCTTCCTTCCCTCCCTGTTTCACACAGGTGCTGCTAGTTCAGCTTGGATGGGAGCACTGTGGAGAGCAAGTCCTGGTGGCTACCTCTAACCTTGTTTGCATCAACCTTTGTAGCCAGTAACAGTGAGAAACGTTAGGAAGAAATCCGATGGTTCAAGTGTATACATTTTCATCACGGTGTCTGCGTTGGAGAGCTTCTTCCATGCTGTCATCTTCTTGTGGTCTGTTCTCCTTGCTCTTTCTGTGGATTTCCCACCGACTCATCCCTGTCCACAAGCCCCTGCTAGCTTATAGCAGAGATGGCCTTGGTGAATCACACGACCCTTACGTAAAATATTAAACCCCAAATATTGGAAGGGACAATCTTGAAAATAACAGCTTGGAAGCTGTTTCACAGTCCCATCCGCTTATGGCCAAGCAGAGCACACATGCAGAAAAAGAAATCGTGAATATCAGATGTCATTAAGGGTCTGCATGAATGAAAAGGGGCTCTGGAAAGCATGTGCAAATTAAACTGACTGCTTGTGTGCCTTCAGATACACTCCAGTGGCACTGCTGTTCCTCCCCACCAGGCTGCTGCAGGCAGAAAGGAGTGATGTCTCACCTGAGTAGTTAGTGATGGTCCTGTGGGCCACATGGCCCTTGGATTTTTGAGAGGCGAGGAGGGCCTGTGGACCGTGTGGTCCTTGGGTGCTTGAGTGGTGAGGCAGACTAATTGATGTGGCTGTCAGTGAGCCCACCTGTGGGGTACCCCTCGGAGCTGCTGTGGTTCATATTTGTCATGGGGAAGGGCAAGCTTTTGATGGCGAGTATTGCTTCATGAAAATAGCTTTTCCTGTTGCATACTCTGCTGTTTCTATATTTAAATTATTCTTGATGCAGTGTTCGGTTTAGACCACTGAAAGCTGCAGTAGTTATGGAACTGATTTTTTAAAAATTTATTAGATTATAATAGTCTAATGTCTTTATAGCTTTCTAGAAAGAAAGATTTTGATTTCTGCCGATGTGTTCAAGTTGATGTGTGAAGTGGTGAACTAGGCACTAAGAAGGTAATACGAGATGTGGATTTTTGTAATGCATCTACTAAGAGAAATGTGGCACTGGCCCATATTAATATTTACTGTAAGTATATTACTCTCAAATAATTTTTTTAAAGTAGCATATTAATTATTCTAATGATTCTCTGCTAACACTTAGTAGTGTCCAAACAAATAGCGCCTTGACACCACAAAGCCTACCTGATTTTAAGTGCCAGTTTAATAAGTTAATAGGTTTTCTTCCCTCTATATTTTGGAGAAGATTGTGAGCATGCCCAGGCCCTGTTTGTGTTGTAAAACAGGCTTTATTGCCCCGTTTCACCAAAGGAATAAATACAGTGACTTAAAACTCGAATGTGTGTGTGTATATGTGCATGTTCTTGGTCTACTGTGCTGACTGAAGATTTGCAAAGGGTTATTTCATGCAACATGAACCGAGTGCTAAAATTACTGATACACGGCTGAGAGGTGTAAGCTAGTACGTAGTTGGCTAAAGAGGTGCTGAACAAGGAGGTAAAGTTACTCATTATAAGGAAAACGGTGCAACTCATGTTGCAGTAGAATTGGGGTTTGTCTCACTGTATGAATTTTATCACTAGTTCTTTGTTTGTTTTTCAATTTAAGAAAGGATTGAAAAACTGACATAAGCATATGTATATATTGCTGTGTTTAAAGCCAGCAGTCACTGACTGCCAATATAAATCTGCTCTGATGGCTTGGGGGAGAAGTAAATTGTAGGGAGAGCAAAGCTATTTTTGACCAGCTATTTGAGCAGTTCACTTTTTTTTTTTTTTTTTTTTTTTTTTTAATGAATGACTGAGCTGATAGTTAATCACTCCCGTCCCTGCACTTAAATAGAAAATTTGAGGATGGTTTACAGCGCTGGTAAGCATAGGTGCAAGTGTTACTGTCAAAACAGCTTTGCAATAGCTGGTGCAAAAGCATGTGAGCAGATGAAGAGAGAAGAAATTGCTGGTGGGAAACCTAGTGTGTTTTCTGTGGCAGGCACGAATTCTGCACCCCACACCTGCCTGGCACCAGGCAGGGGCTGGCAGGGCTCTGGCTCCTGTTGGGTAGCATAAAATGGATGTATTCTGTTGCTTTTCTATGTCACCACATCATACATGTCACCCTCCTCCTCCAAAATGAGGAGGCTGGGCAAATACATCTCTATGCAGGTTGGGCATCCTAATGGCATGGCCACTGTGAGGCTGTGGGGTTGGAGCCAGCCAGTGGTGTGGTTTTGTAGGTGGGACAGCCAGACCGTGTATGCAAGCTGATCAATTCCTTGTCTCTGCTTCGTAGGAGAACATGCATGTGCACAGAACCATGTGTTTACTAAAGACCGTAGTAAGAAAACATCCAGTAACTACATAAAGCTGTCTGGTGAGATATGATATGGAAACTGTCCTAGTCTTGCAATTGAGCTCTTGCAGTAGGCACTGGAGCATGAAACCAGAATGATAGCAGGCAGTGGGACGGGGAACTGGGTTGGGTTTTTTTGTTTGTTTTTTGTTTGTTTGGGTTTTGGAGGGTTTTTTTTTTTTTCAGTTAATATGAACCTTAGTTTTGCTGGTAAACTGCATCCATAGTTGGAACATCTTCTGTTTATAACAGGCTGGTGTAACTTGTGTGTGTGCATGTGTGTATGCATATATATATATATATATATACACACACATACACACCACATCTGTAGAGGGGTTTTGTTGGTCTGTACTTTTGGTCTACTATGTTGGCCAAGGCTGTAGGTGCAGTGAAGCTCTATTATGGTCCCGTCAGCAGGAAGAAACAGCTGTTGCTATACTACAGTTTACCAGATGACCCCTTTTAAAACTACAAGCAAGAAGATGTCTTTTGGTAGCGTAATGCCTCTAAAAGCACGAGTAGCCTATAAGACTGTGCATTCTAGGTGGCAGATTTTTATAGATAATTTTTTTTTTTTTTTTTTTTTTTTTTTTTTTTTTTTGCTTCTCATCTAGGGAAAAATTCAAAGCAAGTGGTCAGCCATTATTTCTGCAACAGGTCTGAGCTGCCACCCCAGCGGATGGTCCCTTCCTGTTGACAGCTGGTCGCTTCACCCTCTGCTCTGAAGGGGAGCCCGGGTTAGACCAGCAAGCCCATACAGGAGGGGAAAAAGAAGGTCTTTTGGACCTGGGCAGCTCCGCGGGACCCCGCTGATGAACTGATAGGCTGGCCAGATTTTTCCCAGGTAGAAACAGGAGGCGGTACTTGGGAATGATTGTGACTTGTAGGGGGTTGTAAAGGCTTCATTTGCACTGAGACCACAAATTCACTTTACGCTGATTTAAGTTTTGCAACTTATTTTTTCCTCTTTGGGTGCCAAAGACAAATGCTTCTATAAATAGGGTCAATTTACAATATGATGAGTATAAGAGTTAATGTGAGAGCTGAATGGATTAGATCCTACCTGTTAGGGTCTCTTTCAGATTTCACATGTTGACATCAAAATAGCTATTATTTCTGTGTCCAAATTGGCATTTCAAGATAGATACAGCAGTTTCCAAATGCTTACCACAAGTTCTGGATATAAACTGATGGGAGTTAACACATGCTCATGAGATTACGGGGCGCTCATGTTGGACCCTAGCTCTCATCAGTGACTACGACAGTGCTCTTGCACAGCATGGGGATGGTACAGTCCTGCATTTGGGTTTGGTGGGTGGCCAATGAACGCGATTTTCAAAGTTCACACTGATTTCTGACCATCTCGTTTGTTGCAGACCAGTAAAGCTAAATGGGTCCAGTCACTGGAATGACTCCGGATAAGAAAGCTGAAACGCCAGGAGCAGAAAAAGCTGCAGGACTACGGCAGTGTCATGGGATGGGAAGCTTGCCCGATGCTGGCGACGCTGGCAGGCCAAAGGCCACTGTGGTAGACAGAGATTCAGCAGATGATGAACTCACAAATTTGAACTGGCTACATGAAAGTACTAACCTTCTAACAAACTTCAGCCTCGGAAGTGAGGGTCTTCCAATTGTTAGCCCCTTATATGACATTGAGGGTGACAGCGTGCCATCCTTCTCACCATCCTGCTACCAGAACCCTGAAAAAAAATCCTCCACTTCCAAACCCCCTTACTCTTTCAGCCTTCTCATTTACATGGCAATCGAGCATTCCCCCAACAAGAGCTTGCCAGTCAAAGAAATCTACAGCTGGATCCTGGAGCGCTTCCCCTACTTTGCCACGGCACCCACTGGCTGGAAGAACTCGGTCAGACACAACCTCTCCTTGAACAAGTGTTTCCGAAAGGTGGAGAGAAGCCATGGCAAGGTGAGACCTGGTGTGAGGGAGGTGGATCCAATTAGAAATCCAGGGGGGAATCGAGAAGGCTGTTGTTCTCAAGGACTTTTTGGTGGTTTCCTTTTTCCCCTCCATGTCATCTAACACTTTATTTGCAGCTGGAGATGCCACTTCTGACAAGTCACAGGATGACCAAAGTCACTTGGTTTTGTTATTTAGTGCTGACCAGTGTAGAGCTAGCCATGGTGCATCCTTTTTAAAGCTGGCTAACATGCTATTGCAAAGGACCCTGTTTCCACTTACTTACAATTTTGTTAGCCTGCAACACCCCGCCTGAAATTTCTGACATCTGTCTTAGGATGTCTTTTCACTGAAGCTTCTTAAACTGGTGTGCTCTCTGTTTTCCAGTGCTGAAATTTAGGGGTGTGTTCTTCCTTCCCTGCTTTTCCAGCATGGCCACAGCTATGATTGCACTGGGAAGCAGAAGAGATTGCAGGATGCCGAGCAGATTCCCTGCTTGACTAGTAGAGGTGTTGCCTGTTTGGGTTGCAGATGGGGTCTTCTGCAAGGCCCCTGTGCTTGCAGGCACACTGTATGTACATGGCTGAGCGTTTCTCAGTCTAACAGCTGTGTTGAATATTAAACTGATTTTTGCACTTGTGACCTTCTTTCACACTTAGCACAGCTCTATCTTTCCAATAACCATCTTAATTCCTGCATTTAATGTACTGTATTGCTTTAACCTCTGTCATAACATGTGTGTGTCTCTGCGTGGTGCAGATACAAGCTTCGCTTCTTAAGGTCAATGATATTCTTTTCTGTACAAATTCTTTCTTCTTCTGACTTGGATGATTTCACTAGTGACTTCCTCTCTCTCTCATTTCCCATCCCATTCCTCAAAGAGCCAGCTCTGACTTAAATAAACCAACAAACCACATACCAAAAGTCAACAAACAAATCCCAGACCTGTATGCTTGGAGGTCAGCCCAAGTGGTAACAGGCTTGTTATCAGAAATGCATGCAATGCCTGGCATGCTTGACAGCCTCTTGCTGTAGATAGAGGTTCTGGAGCTGTGTGGGCATCGGGAAGGACTGCTTTGTACTGGTAGGACTGAACATCACTGCTTCTCAATATCCCTGCTTTTCCATTAAATTGTTAGGGTGTTGTTTTCCCAAGCAGCAGCTTTGTCCTGGAAAAAAAACACTTTCTGATGCTGTGTGGCAAGTCCAGTAGTTCTCTTCCATGGCTGAGTTGTGCTGAGTTTTAGGACGGGCTTTTAATGTGGCTCCAGGTGCTGTAACAGAGTAACTGAGATGCTGCAAGCTGTGCCTGTGTGAAGGATGTGGATCTGGGCAGCAATTGCATGTTGCCACAGGTGGCAAAGGTACCCTTAAAGGACTGGGCATCTCTGTCCAGGAAGGGAGACATGAGTTTGAGAGGAATTAGGGCAGGGCAGGGAAATCTCCTAAATCATTGTATGAGTTCTTGTTTTCTGTGGTTCTCCAGTTCACTTGTTTCCAGCCTGGAAACCCTGATGGTTTAGGAGTTACCAGTCAAACCTCATGTCTTGGCATTTGGGCAGCAGGAATTTGAGACTGCCTGGTCCTCTGCTTACCCTGGCAACTCCACCAGTATTGCTGGGCACAGAGGATGGCTTACTGCTAGATGTGACATCTCTAGTAGGAAAACCAAAATGAAGAATAGCTACTACCATTACCAGTAAGGTGGTGCTGATGTGCTCTGTCAGCATTTTCCCAGGGCTCCACAGTGCTCTAATTCTTAAGAACAGAAACTGCATTTATCAAAAAATACCACCCCAAAAAAGCCCCTTCTGAAACTTTGTGTAAGCTTCCCCATTTCCAACAGTAGTTAAATATTTACCCTCTGCCCTGCAGAGAAAAGGACCAGATGAGAGTGCTGCTCCAAATTGTTCCTGCAAAATAAGTCCATGGTGCACAGCAGCACTTGCAGGCTCTACAGGAATGGATCTGGCAGATGGTGGGAATGCTGTAGACCCCTTCAGCTGAGCTCCTCAGGTGTCACTTGTTAGAGCAAGCAGCAGGAGCTTACAGGCTTGTTTTGCCAATTGTGTTTGCTTGTAACCATGTGCTGGTCATGCCTCTAGGTGCTTTTGAGAGGGACAGATAATTTTCTATTTTATTCCATTTTTTCTTTATTAATGGCATCTTAATTGTCTCAGAGGGAGCGTGTAGCCAGCTTTCGTCTATCCCAAGTGCCCGTGGAAGCAGAGGCCCATGGCATATTGCAGCAGAGGAGCATGGCTTATTTTGTAACATCAGGGTAAGAAGGGTTTTAAAGCCTTTCAAATGAATGTGGGCTCTCTTGTTCGAAGAGTGTAAACATCTGACAGGAGGGGAGGTTTTGTGCCCCCACATCCTGGGACAGGCTGCTTTCTGACACCTCCCTGGCTATTGCTGCCAGCTACAAAATCATGTCTTGGAGATCTGGCAGCAAAACTAGGAAGGGTCTGTCCTCATGTTTGCCGTAATGGTGATATTTTGGTTTGGACTGGGAGTGCACTTTGAAGTGAGCCTCCTGATTTTTCACACTTACCCCACGTTAGCTGGCACTGCAAGGCAGTTTCAGGACATGTGAACCAGATTAATTTTGGCTGGTGCTAACCTGGGAAAGGTGTTGCAGGAGTGTCCTTGCTGTGCCCTGATTGCACCTGGATGTTGTCCACAAGACCCTGCTGGAGCAGATCTGAGTAAAACGTCCAAAGCATGTGCGGGCGACCCCTCAGCACCAACATTCTCACTCCACAGAGCTGTTTCTACCAAGCTGTGCCACACTGTGTTGCAGAGGTAGCTGTGGATGGTCCATCTGTTTGCATGTATATTCCTATCAGGCAGCTAAATACCTTTACCTTGCCTGTTGCAGCAGGCTGCGGGCATTCGCGAGTCTAGGACAGTGTTCAGCAGAGATTGGGGGAAGGCTGTCCTTGCTTGGATCGCTGAAAAATATTGTATATTATGGTTTTCTTTTAATGAGTTGAAGGGCGCTGAAGGGAAAGTAACATGCCTTATGAACAAGCACTGCAGTTGAGAGGAGGAACTTCTCATGCCATGGAAACAGGATGTGTATACGTCATATGTCTGCTAAAATACACATTACCCTTTCTGTGTGCAGATATTGTGATGCTGCTGTATCTAAGTGGTTTGTCAAGGTTTACCTCAGGTGATAGACTTACAAGCTAAAATACCCTTTCATATTAGAGTTGCATTTGAGCTCATGCTTTCAGTCATCCAGACAGATGAGATTTCTAGTGGTTCTCCAGTAATGGTGGTTGGGTGCTGGAGCTGATGAACAGCAAGGGGATGATGCTGGGGTCAGTCACTGGGACACTGGCTTGCCTCCCAGTGTGCCTGCTGTGGCCCTGGTGCCCCTGAAGATGTGGAGGTGTGGTCGTGGGCCAGTGATCCTCAGAAGGTACAGCTAATGCTCTTTGTATCTTAAGCACTGTCATGCAGCCTTGGGGTTGGGGGAGTGCAAGGTCTACAGTGGGAAATTGCTCTTTTTGAGGGAGCAGTGTCTGATACACAGCACAGGAGGACCTGATTTGAAAAGCAGTTTGGAGTTGGAAGCCCTGAAGAGTCTCCCAGCTCTTTGCTAGGCTTGTTTTTACAATTGTGGGTTTGGGAGCTTTTAATTGATCGATGCTACTGGGGAGAAAAGGTGAGAGGAGGCAGGAGTGGCATCCGCGTCAAGCATCAATCTGGCATGCCACTGTTTCCTCCAGAGGTCAGGGGTGCTAGGGCTTGAATATCTTCAACAGATCTCCCTTTCTTTCTTCTTGATAGATGTGTGTTTTAGGGTTTGGTTTTTTCCTAGCTCGGGTGGAAGCAGCTGGTGAGAACTGCCCATACTCAGTGGAGCTGGGGCTGCTGCCCAAGCTGAAGCTTATGGAGGGCTTTCTGCAGCACAGGGACGGGTGTCTGCCTCTGCAGCGAGCCCGAGCCACTGGTGCTGGCTGAGTTGCTCTACATTGGTCGCTTCTTGGGCTTTCCTTGCTGGACTGGCCATATGCACTGGTTGTACTTCACTGCTAGCAGGGGAGGGACTGTGGTGGGGTGGTGGTAAAAGTAAAGGACAAGACTGCATCATGTCGGGCATCTTGTTTCCAACCCATGTTGCTATAATCCAGCCCTGAAATGCTGAGGTCTGGAAACTTAGTGTCTACGAAATAGCCCCAAATGCTTCAAAATGTAGGAATTATTTTCTCTCCTTTATTTGCCTAGACAAAATACTGCAAGTCAAATTAGAATTGTTGAAAGATGCAGAAAAGATGATAGACCAAAAACCAGTATCAGTGACCCACTCATTTTGAGATGGAGAGTCAAAATGGTCTGGTGGTTGCTCTGCAGAGACTCTGGAGGGATGTTTCCCTTGATGTTAAATAAAAGTTACACCTACATTTCAGCTAACACATCAACAGTTGCCCCACTGTTGATATGAAATAGTAACGTCCAGAGGCACTTTAGCATTTTAGATCATGTTAGGCTTAGTCTTTGCTAGGAGAAATGGCAGTCTTTTTTGTTGCTGTGGTTAGACTGTTGAATGTACCTGTATTCTAAGAACTTCCAGCTCCATGTGCATGGTTTTCCCCTAAAGCATGACAGTAACTTCAGACTTGTGTTGGATTTTCAGTGTGAGTCTTTGCTAAGAAGCTGATGTGAGTGAAACGGTGCACAGGAGCAGCCCCATTGGCATTGTCTCTTTTGCTCAATGTCTGCTTTTAGTACAAATAATGGTGGGTGGAAGCATGGTTTCACATTACACCTAACCCAATCTAACTACCCAAAGAAGTCACCCTGTTTATTGCCTCCTGCATTAGACTGTCGGTAAAGCTTCCAGGGTGTGCCCTGGTTCAGCTTGCTGTTGCAACACCCACCCAAAATCCTTATATTATGTTGTCAGGGCAGCAAGCTGGTGGGAGTACCTGGCTGGGAAGATGAGAAGATGAAAGAGGAAACTAACCCCATTTTGGCTTCAGGCCCAGCTGAACTGAATTAGGTGTCAAGTTGAAGTGCTAAAGTAGCAGATAAAACAGTATAGTTTGCTGGTCAGGGGAGTTACTGGCTCTCTCTGAGGGCAACAGCCTCAAAGCTGCTAAAGGGAAAAGGGA